GAGGACATCTGTTCTCGACGCCTCGGCAGACTTGAAGGTTCGGACCTGTCCATACTTTGGCTACGCGTAGACAGCGACGACCATCCGCGCGTCTACGGGTGCCTCTATAGGTCCCATAGCGGTAATGCCGAAACAGACCGACTCTTCGACCACGTCCAAATGGCTGCAGATTCGTTGCTACAGCAGATCCCCTCCGCAGAGATCGTGATCCTCGGCGACTTTAACGCCCATCACGCCGAATGGCTCGGTTCACGTTTAACCGATCATGCGGGGAGATCTGTTCATGATTTTGCCTTGGCATATGGTCTGACACAACTGGTTACTTCGCCTACGCGGATTCCAGATGTGGAGGATCATGCACCTTCCCTGTTGGACCTTCTGCTGACCTCTCACCCGGACGGATATCAGATTTCCGTCGACGCCCCTTTAGGCTCCTCGGACCATTGTCTTGTCCGGAGTGTGGTGCCACTCACGCTGAAACCGCGGTTGCATTCTGCAGGCTGCCGCCGTGTTTGGCACTATAGGTCAGCCGATTGGGATGGGATGCGGTCTTTCTTTGCATCCTACCCTTGGGGGGCGGGTTTGCTTCTCGCCGGACGATCCCAACGTTGTTGCGGATTCTGTCGCTGATGTGGTACTTCAGGGTATGGAACTTTTTATTCCTTCCTCTGTGGTGCCCATTAGAGGCAAATCTCAGCCATGGTTTGGTCGCTCCTGTAAAATAGCATCATGCTATAAGCAGGAGTGCTACCGAGCCTGGGCTGACGCATCAGCGTCCAGGGATGTAAACACCAGCGCTCTAAAAAAGAAGTATAATTCCGCCTCTAGGTCCTTCAAAAGAGTCATTGCCAAGGCAAAGTTAGAGCACATAGGCAGAATTGGCGAGAAACTAGTTCGCCTTCCTTCTGGAACCCGTGCATTCTGCTCTCTCGCCAAGGCTGTCCACGGGAATTTCTGTCAGCCATCTCTTCCATCTCTGCACAGGGAGGACGACTCACTGGCCCACACCGCAAAGGAGAAAGCCGATCTTCTAGGCTCTTTCTTTGCGTCTAACTCGACTCTCGATGACGGGGGGAGTACGCCGCCGACCATCCCGCGGTGTGAGTGCTCCATGCCGGAAGTGCAGTTCACTCAGCGCTCGGTTCGCAAAGCACTCCTCTCCCAGGACATCCACAACTCGAGTGGGCCTGATGGAATCCCCCAATTGTGCTGAGGACGTGTGCTCCAGAGTTGGCACCGGTTTTAACGCATCTTTTCCGGTACTCCTACTCCCTAGGCGTAGTCCCAAAATCATGGAAGACGGCTTTCGTCCACCCGATCCCTAAAAAAGGCGACCGCTCAGACCCGTCCAACTACCGGCCTATCGCCATCACCTCCTTGTTCTCCAAAACAATGGAGTCCATTGTAAACTGCCAGCTCATGAGGTACCTTGAGGATCACCAGCTGATTAGTGACCACCAATACGGTTTTCGCCGTGGTAGGTCAGCTGGTGATCTTCTGGTCTACCTAACTCACAGATGGGCGGAGGCAGTAGAGTCCAAGGGGGAGGCATTGGCCGTTAGTTTGGACATTGCGAAGGCCTTCGATCGGGTTTGGACCAAAGCACTTCCTTCGAAGCTCCCTTCCTATGGGCTTCCCGAGAAATTGTGCGATTGAATCACCAGTTTTCTTGCAGATCGGAGCATCAAGGTCGTTGTAGACGGTGCAAGCTCCGATTGCAAGCTTATTAATGCTGGTGTTCCACAGGGCTGCGTGCTACCACCAACGCTGTTTCTTCTGCATATCAATGATATGTTGCAAACCCGTAGCATTCATTGCTATGCAGATGTCAGCACTGGTGATGCTCTTTACACCGGCCGAGCCAATATTTCTCGGGAAAACGTCTCTGAGTGCCGGGACAAACTTGTGTCTGAAGTCGAGTCTCTGCTGGACAGAGTCTCGGATTGGGGGCGACTAAATCTAGTCCAGTTTAACCCCCAGAAGACACAAGTTTGCGCGTTAACCGCTAAAAAGAACCCCTTTGTCGTATCCCCTCAGTTTCAAGGCACTCCCCTTGTTGCCTCAGCCAGTATCGGAATCCTCGGCGTCGACATATCGAGTGACGTGCAGTTTCGTGGTCACTTGGAAGGGAAGGCCAAATTGGTCTCTAAAAAGCTTGGCGTGCTCAGCAGAGCGGGACAGTATTTCATGCCGGCACACCGCCTGCAACTTTACAAGGCGCAAGTTCGGCCGCTCATGGAATACTGTTCCCATCTCTGGGCTGGGGCTCCCCAGTACCAGCTCCTTCCACTTGACCGCATCCAGCGCAGAGCGGCTCGAATCGTCGACGACCGAGTGCTTTCCGATCGGATCTGGGATAACTATAGGTGTAACGTTCACCTCCTCAATCTCCCAAAATTTGCGAACTAACGACTCGAGCGGTTCGACAGCCATACAACAATAAGAGGTTGCTGAAATATTATCCATGATAGGGGCGGAACCAACGATGACGTAGCCCAAGGCGGTCTCCAGTGCGTAAGGCGCGGTATACGAGGGGTTGCTCCTGACCTTATTGTGTAACAAAAGATGAGGGAAAACCGATGCTCTAACGAACAAACGATTGCAGCCTCATCTCTCGTCTAACAGCCATGTGATTATGAGTGTGATCGGAGAGTTTTTGTGGTCTTCTGCGGCGGGTCTTGCAGAACTTAGCTCCGACCGCAAGGACAGTTTCCACGAGCTTGTCATTCATATCGTCCACTGCGTTGCAATCTTCTAGGCACTGAAAGCGGTTACGTAACTCGAGCTGAAATGTTTCGGGATTCTGGATCAGAGCACAAGGGGGACGCAGCGTTGACTTCATTAGACGAGGCCTCTCCAACTTAACATTTAGGTTCAATATAATTCCTATAACCATTCGGTGATCGCTGCCAGTTTTCACCTGAAAAGTTGCCTTTTGATCGTCATAACGAAGTCAATCTCATTTTTTGCCGAACCGTCGGGGCTCGACCAGGTCCACTTTCTGTGGGGCCGCTTCTGGAAGAAAGAGTTCATCATGAAAAGTCCCTCTTTCTCCATGAAGTTGGCCAGCTGCTGGCTCCTTGGGTTCCGTTGCTCTATCCCAAATTTCCCTACCTTCAGCTCACCGTTCTTTCTTGTGCCCAGTTTTGCGTTGAAGTCTCCCATTAACAGCGTATAGTGAGTTTTGGAGGAATGCATGACTCTAGAAATATCCTCATACATTTCCTCCACCTTCTCATCGGGATGTTCCGACGTTGGCGCGTAAACCTGTATGACCTTCAGCGAATATCGTTTGGTGATTCTGAATATAAAGTACGCAACTCTCGTCGATACACTCCCAATCTTTCAAACGTTGTTAACGAGAGACTTGTGGACGATAAATCCAACACCTCCTTGGGACAAATGGTTGCCCTCCCGGTTATAGAACAAGTTTCCGGATTCGAGAATTACCGTGTCCTCCCCCTCTCTTCGGACCTCGGATAATCCTATAATATTCCAGCGCAACTTGTCTATCTCTTTTTCCAGCTCCAGGATCTTCTCGTCAGTCCTCAGATTCTTAACACCCCCTATGTCGCCGTTACCGCAGTCGCTACCGTAGCCAGGAATAGCGGGGCCGCCGGGGACGGGGGGCCGTCTATTTGTGTAATTCTTCATGGGGGGGGGGGTATATTACCATAGTTGCCCCGCTTGGTGAGCGGGTTGGCAACCGCAGTTTTTTTGTTGTTAATTATTTAATATGTTATTAATTTTTTTTTAATATTTTAGATGTAAATGTGAGTATTGAGATAGGTCGATAATTTTAAACGTTTTTTGTTTTGAAGGAATTTTCCCAGATTTTTTTAAACAATCTGGGAAAATTCCTTCAGAGAGACAAATTCAGTAAATATGAGTTGATGATGGTACGAGAATTTGTCTTATTTTTTATATACTGATGGGTATGGGCCGTCCCAACCAACTGCGCTTGTTTCTTTCGGCCCCATTATAATCCTTTTCACCTTAGTAGCGTCAGTTAGATACTGTGATGTGAACGAGCTTAATATACAATTTCTTTGAGTTGAGAAAGAGACCCTGTATTCATGTTTATTGTTAGTATTGTTTATCATCTGCTCAGAAACATTCTACCAACGTTCACAAAGTAATTATTTGCTGTATTTGCTGATATAAGCGGCGAGGAATTATTTTGTACTAATTCTGATGAATATTCATGCTGTTTGGATATAAATGCAATTTATTTTTCATGCCGCTATTTTTTTTTGTCTCGAGCTCTAATCCAAATCCTGAAAACTTTGAACTCAAGATACAAAATAGTTTTCAATGCCAAGAAGACTGCAATGAAGTGGACGATATGAACGACAAGTTCGTAGAGACTACATTTGGAGCTAAGTTCTGCAGGATCCGTCGTAGAAGTACACATAAACTCGCCAATCACACCCCTTTAATCTCATGGAGGTGATAAAAATGCAGTCTTTAGCATATATGGCAGCATACACGCAACTGAATCGACACATCTCCAAATACATGCGGTGGAACTTTCGCAACTTCAATACAGCTTCTTTGGGAAGGCCTATGTTCAGTAGTGGACTTGTGAAGGGCTGTATGATGTACAACCCTTCACAAGCCTGTAGTATGATGTGATGATTCCCCATAACAGCTTCTGGAATCGAGGCTACTACACGCGCGAATTATGATCTCGAGAGGGATAAATAATTTTTTTGTAATAAAAAATCAAAATTTATTAATTAAACCACATTACAATATGATTTTACACTAAGGTCTGATTACCCGAGCATCCTGAGTCCCCACACGCTGCGTTGGAAGATAATAGGCTTAAATGCGACACAACGCCGTGGGGTCACTCTTGAGATAAGCTAGTTGCATCCATTGTGGAATTTGCACAACACGCGTAACAAATTAAGAGTTTAAATAAAACATACACAGCAGTAAAAAATATTTAGAACATAATATTTTTTTAAATGTTAGTATTTAGTGTACTCATATCCTTATTCCATTTCATCACTCATCTCTGCTATAGATACTAATATGGTCATTACGAAAACAATCACCTGCAATCAATCATCCATATATTAAATGTGCTTAACACATGAAAAAAAATTTTTTTCTCCGATCATTAATAGTAAAATATTAAAAAGTGGTAAATTACACCGTTGGAATAACGAACCAAATTGTTGTAAAATTATTTCAATGGGTGCGTTTGGCAGAAAAAAGCGCTAGCAAGCGCGTGTAAGCAAAATGGCGATTTTAAGCGGTAAGCGCTGTCAAATCGTAAGTAGCTATTTTCCTCTAGGACACGAAGTTAGTTTTAACCGGGGAACCTAACCTAATTTAAATAGATGTTTGTAAAGTATTCATATTAAAAACTTACCAATCATGAATTTTTTAATGTTTATTCACGTCATTATATTATTTAAAACTAATATTGCACAAAACAACTTATAAACTCTAATTCAAAACAAACAAATTAAATAAGCAAAATGGCGGATTGTGTCAGCGCTACCGAAGTAAGCAAACGTGTCCTGGCCGAAAACTGTTTAGTTTCGCCATTTTGCTTACAAGCGCTTGCTAGCGCTTTTTTCTGCCAAACGCATCTAATATAAACCGTTAAGTTCCTCCGAATATCTAGAATATCCTCTGCCTATATCGTCCCGTAGTTGTCGTAAGTGGTGACATAGGGCAACAGGAGACGACCAACTTCCTGACAACTACTACAATTATAAAATTGCAGTTGCCAAACGTAGCAATTACGTCAAAATTCCACTTGTGAGGCAATCTATGGGAGAGGCCTTTGATCAACGGTGGACTTTTATAAGCTGTGATGTATAGATGGATGGGCCACAGAATTCACATAACATCAGTTCATCACTTAATATCAAAGTGTTTAAAAATGTTGTCCTGTACGTTCGTTTGTAGCCAACATTTATATGAATTAAATTGTTATCAAACAACTCACCGTGGTCAAAAGTGGTCTCTCTAAAGGGCATATGTTAAGAGGTGAGTATAAAGGTGATTGGTGCAATAACTGTCTGCAAAACATTTTCAATTCAATTACGAATGAGTGACACGTTGAATTTGTCATCAAATGGCCCAAAATTTTTTTTGTTTCTTCCACCTGGACACAAAAATGTTATAATTGGACGTTTTAAATTATTACTTCTACCGAAATCAAGGAGTATATTTTAACTTCAGAATAATAAATCTGAAGTTAGTGTTTGCCACCATGGATTCTTGCAGCTTTAAAAGTTACCTAAATTGTTTATAAACATATATAAGCTTTAATTGACTGACACTGAATAGTTGAAAAACAACCTGAAAATTTTAGTAGGAATGTTGCAGGAAGAACAATATTGTATGTGTTTACTACTAAATACAAATAATTACCTCTTGTTGAGTCCGATGACAAGGATCGATTATAATAAAAAGCTTGAAAATGTGAGACACAAACAAAACTATTTGGCCATAAACCATGAGCGTTCGAAAAGGTGTATCAACTAAAAAAAAAAACGACACATGATAAATTATGAGACAATCTTTAAATTTCTACTTATTTATTATATACAATACACGAGAAACCTCAAGCACACTCAACGGTCTTTGTAGATAACAGTAGTATCAGAGTAACTAACTTAGGAATTAGACTGTCTCTATCTCTGTCTATGTATGTGTCTATGTATGTCCATGTATGTTTACTCTGATACTACTATTGAGCATTGATAACAGGTCTTTACCTATGAAACTGCCGTTCTGAAGTACTAGCCATTTCAAATCAAAATAATTTTTGTTTGGCTAAGAATTTTAATTTCAAATTAATTTAATTTGAAAAATATGAAATTATTTTTTTTTCAAAATTATACATTTGTTTATTCAAAAGCATTATGTTTTCAGCGAATTTGAATACTATCGGAAACAACGTGGCACAATCGGCACACAACATCAATGACGTTTACGGAACAAATACTACAAACGAACGCAGTACTTGTACGTGATTTTCCCGCGTCCATTCCGGAAATTTCAACTTGAAAAATGAAACCCCGGGTCGTTCAAAAATATTGGTTGGTAATGACGCATTAAAGGAGATTGTGAAAGCTGATGATCCTCAATCTACGGCGGAATTAGCACCATCTTTCGACATTAGCATCAAAACAATATTGCTTCATTTGCGTCAAATTGATAAGGTATAAAAGCTTAACAAATAGGTGCCCTACGAACTCAATGACTGCCAGCGCAAAGTACTCGTTGAAACGTACCTTGCACTTCTCAACAGTGGCAAGCGCTCAAAAAGTTGGCTGGATCCCGGTTCTACACCTAAACAACGTCCTAAACGAAAAGCTATCTCTAGAAAATTGATGGTCTGTTTGGTGGTCTAGCGCCAGTGTGATTCATCAGAGTTTTTTTTACTAAACGGGATGAGAATTACTGCAGATGTGTACTGTGAAGACCTGAACACAATGATGGAGAAGCTCACACGTCTCTAACCGGCTTTGTTCAATCTCTAGTCCTCGCTGCTCATGCACGACAAAGCGCGACTTCATACTGCGCAACGTACGGTCTCCAAGTTACAAGAGTTTACAAGTTACTAGGGTTGGAAGCTCTCTGTCATTCGCTTTTTCCAGAATTTTGATTTTTGGCTTTTGGCGGGAAAAAATTCAATAACCGAGAACCAGTACAAAATGCCTATGAAGAATTTCTTACCTCCCGTCCAATTGATTTCATTTGTTGAATGGGTTATTACTTTGATTGATAGAAATAAAAAAATTGGAGAAAAAAATACTTTAACTTACTAGTATTTCACAGAAAACGGCAATAGCAAAGGTAAAGGCCTAATATGTTGATATCAGTATATGCTGAAGTCGCAAGACCGGCCGTGTCCAGCACTGCACTTTCACAGTGCTGTAATGAATAAAATAAAATAAAATAAATCAATTCGCAACCATTAACAAGTTTAGCCTAGATGAAATTTCAATTGTTTTTTAATTAAAACCGAAGATATAAAATTATAAATGATAAACACCTAGAAAATTTATTCTTTTTATTCTTATTAGTTATTAAAATACTTATGTTTTCTACATAAGTATTTTAATAACTTCTGACGTCGACGTCATAGTGTATGGCCCTGATTTCAGAGTCTATTAAGTTATGTGGAAATTATTTTATTATTTTTAGTTTTTAGAAGTCGGAAAATAAATCAGAGTTCTCTTTTTATTTTTGCTTGTTTACTACTACTTCGTTATTTTGTATTTATATTACAAAGTCGTATTTAATCAAGTTCTAAAACTTGGAGAGTATATAAAATGTAAATACAAAGCGGCACCTGGAATATTCATATAATATATAAAGTGGCGGCCCGAGATGACTAATAACAGACAGGTATGGAAAAATATTAACAGCAACATGGGACCTTCATTTCTATTTTTTTGTCTTGCTAATTTTAAAATGGACATGTATGAATGGCGGTAGTCACAAAATTTTTCGCGCAACTTCCATGGTGATAAAAATGTTGAAATATCTGTAAAGAAATAAGTATATATCGTTAAAACAAATGTACTTAAGATTATTATATAATACGATTTTAGCAATGGATTAGAATATAATATAATTGAATAATTTTTATTTAATATTTATTATTTTTTACTACATAAATACTTACTAAAACTATAACATCATCATCATCATAATTACAGCCCTTCACAAGTCCACTGCTGAACATAGGCCTCCTCCAAGGTATGCCACAAAGCACGGTCCTGAGCCACCTGCAACCATCGACTTCCTGCATGTCTTACCAGGTCGTCACTCCATCTAGTGGGGGGTCGCCCTACACTTTGCCTACCGGTACGAGGCTGCCACTCGAGAACCCTTCTTCCCCAACGGTTGTCGGTTCTTCAAGCTATATGGCCGGCCCATTGCCACTTCAGCTTACTAATCCGTTGGGCTATGTCGGTCACTATTAACCAATATTAACCAATGCCATACTATAATTAACCTATATGTTGGATACGTAACTACTGACTAATCAATAATAATAACTATCAACCTGGATATAATATAAGATACTAATTTAAAAAATATATAATTTTCACGCATTTGTATGTCGCAGTTATGAATTTCGTCAGACTGCGTGTAAATATTGGGTGTTTTTCTTGCTGCATAAGAAGTTTCGATGGTTTTTTGTCTATGGTTTGACAGTTGAGAATGTCAAACTGTGTTGAAATTTCTGTTCAGTATAGTTTGGCAATTCATCATGAATTGTTTAACGCCAGAACAACGTCTCCAAATTGTGGAAATTTACTATGAAAAAAAATAAATCTGTTCGCGAAGTTCATAGAGCACTTCGTCCATTTTACGGTCAACATAATCGGCCTAGTGAGGGAGCAATTTGTACAGCTATTGATCAGACAAAGAAACGTGTGTACCGAAGAGAATATTGCTGCTGTAGCGCGATGTGTTGAAGAAGACGCCGAAATGTTGTTTCTTCGCCGTTCTCAACTAGTTAGCCTTTATCCATTCGACTGCGTGAAAATTTTTACGTAAGGATCTTAGGTTACGTGCCTATAATATACAGCTCGTGCAAGAATTAGAGCCAAGTGACCATCGTTTACATCACATTTTTGCAGATTGGGCTTATTGGAAACTAGCGGAAGATGAGCATTTTTATCGAAGAATTGTGTTTAGTGATAAAGCTCATTTCTGGTTAAATGGCTTGGTAAATAAGCAAAATTGGCATGTATGGAGCGAAGACAGTCCTCTTGCCGTTAACGAATCACCATTACCTTCATTAAAATGGTGTTTGGTGCGGTTTACACGATGGTGGCATCATCGGTCCTTATTTCTTTCGAAATAAGAAAGGTGCTGCCGCTACGGCAAATGGCGAGCGCTATCGAGCCATGCTGACTGATTTTTTGTATCCAAAAATTAATCACCTAAACATCGACGCCATTTGGTTGCAACAAGATGGCGCCGTGCAGCGTGCTTAACCATCAATTTATTGCAAAATCAATTTGGTGACAATTTTATTTCCAGAAGTGCTCCTGTTAACTGGCCCCATCGTTCATGCAACTTAACGCCTCTCGACTACTTTTTATGGGGTTGTGTTAAGTCATTGGCTTATGCCAACAAACCAGCAACTCTTGAAGCGTTGGAAGCCAATATTCAAGCCACCATTGACACCATGCGGTCAGATTTATTGGAAAAAGTAGTGAAAAATTGGACTGATCGAATGGATGATGTAACTCGTAGCCGCGGCGGACATATGCCATAAATCATATTTAAAAATAAATGCCATGAAATTATCTACCAGATTACAGTAACAAACAATTCATTCAAATTATATTTCTGTCTTGTATTATTATTAATTTCTGTAGCTCTTAAAAAACAACCTTTATAACAGATTACAGCAGCATGCCCATAGTTGAGGTTCAGAGAAAATTCAATCCCTAACAACTGACGGGCTCCTTTTAGTGGTGAAAATACACGCTTTAGTTTTGGAGGCATTGAACCTCACAAGATTCACATTCGATGCTTTCTTTGCTTCATAATTACCAAGGAAAATAACCAGTACTCAGTGGTGATGAGATTTCCAACGTATTTTTAAAAAAAATCTGTTGAAAAATTGAAGCTTCTCCGCTATAACAAACCTATGTTCATATGCGAAAATTCAGATCGATACGTTGCATCGTTGCGGCGTGAAAGAAGATCAAACAAAAAAACATAACAAATCATATTATGCTTCTGTATAATATTAAAATAAGGGTACACTTACTTGTTTACACTTTTTTTTAATTATCGATGTTTTAAATTCTTTACAGCACCCACACTCACGGAGCGGGGCGAGTGACGGATTTGTTGAATGCCTAATTTTACTCAGATTAGCTTTAGATTTTAATTTTAAAAATAATTATTAAGCTTTCGATTTTGCATAACCACGCAAAAATCAGTTCAGATACTATAAGGCACTCAAAAATAAATTCAAGCAAAAATGATTGTGTTTTTTTGTATACAGGTTTTTTATTATAATATACCGAATTGCCTAAGAAGTTGAAAAAAAAAAGAATTAAACTACAAACGATTTGTATCCGCTGAAGTACACAATCCTGCTATTTCCCTGTTAACCCACTGCAATGCTGCGTGCACGATCAAAACAGTGTACACTATCTGCAGCTCGAGAAGAAACAATATAAAATGTGCCAAGCAAAGCACACAGTATACGGATATAAGTAGATCTAAAAACAAAGAAAATAGTTAACATATTATGTGAAAATATACTCCAAGAAACATGAGATTCTAAATCTATTTACCGTTTCCAATGTGACGTTTTATTATTATTACAAAAAGAATAACTCTAAAAGAATTAGTGCAGAGTTGCCTGTTATGATCGATGATATTACCCTCTTCTTAAATTTTTCATTCAGATTTTGGGCACAGTTATATTTCTCATTTATCTAAATCCACAAAATGTTTATTTTAGGTCAAGTTAAAAATTCAGCCTAATAATGAGTTATAAGAATGATGAACCTTGCTTATACATGCAACGTATTTTAAGAAACGATTCATACGCTGCCGTCCACCATATCCTCCTAGGAAAAGAATTGTGATCGTGAATGTGATATCTCCAGTAAAAAATATATGAAAAGTTGTCGTACTCAAAAGCTCAGATTTCTGATAATAATTTCTGTATATGATGAGACCACTTATAATGAATAGATCTGAAAAAAAAAAATACTGTTACTCAGAAATGATGAAAATTTTTGCTTTATGAATAATATTTTAAAATTCTCCGATTTGCTTTAAATTATTATCCTTTGAGAACCTTTAATTCACGCAGAATTTTTTATTTATTTAAATATTTATCTTCTCCTTTAACAACCTCTATTGCTAGAAAAAAGTATTTTTAAAAATTGTCAACTGAAGTTGTCTTTTCAAAAAGGTCTACTAGTAGTAGTAGGTAATAAAGAACGGCATCACTAGTGTATCAGCTCTGTATTCACCAACCCGACTGCCTAGTATCTACCTAGACCTAGTGGTCTTTATTACCAGCCTCCATCATTCATCATTTCATTGAGATCCATCATTTTCGAATGAAAACATAATTCCGGCTCTAATACCAGAGTGAGAATAGCATTTGTATAAAAAATTGTTATGTGAAAACCGTTACAAGGAAAATGACAGGCGTCATTTCTAATGCTTCAAAAACAACTTGTAAAAATAACCAAGTCTCACTACTCAGTTCTTCTACCGTAAAAAGTTGTGAGATCCATTTAATACCAAGTCGATTAATTTATTCAGTTCCTACCTAAGGTTTCTTCTGTCTTAAGTTATTACATAATTAGCTAACCTAACAACATCTGATAGTGACCATATTAATAATAAAAATCTTTTATGTTTTAAATGTTATGTTTTTGAAGGCACAACGAAGTTATAGATGGTCACTACCGTGCCCCCAAAAAAGTTATTGGAGTAGGGACAAGTCCACCGCACTGGCCCAATTTATGTTAGCGTACTTGATCTCCAAACGCTTCTTTATTATTTAATCATGCAATTTACCTCCAAATTAATTAAAAGTGCAATTCACACATTTCTATTCTGTTGACGAGTGCTCATTACGTCGCTAACAACATAGAAAGGTAATCCAGTAACAGATAAAATTCTAGCAATATCTTCAAAATAAAAAATAAAAAACAAATTATAACTTTACTCTTAGAAAAACTTACTAATAGCTGTGATTATGATACAACTGCCAATTGTGTAGGAATTTGCAATACGCGCTACGTAACTTGAGCCGAGCTGTTTTAGATGTAGTGGTGCGCATCCACACAAGCGTGAAATTCTCAATAGAAAAGCGAATGCACCATCGATAACAAACGCAGGTTTATCGATTATCTTTGTACAGTTATCTGTTTTTATTTTACACCAGACATGATTTTAATATATTAGAATATCGACTGAAACTGCAGATTACTCATATTTTATGCATATACGAACATTATCATTAAAAATGGATTAAAATGAACAAACGTGAATAAAGAATTATGTTTCGAAATCACGCACTGATTTACTCGTAACATTAAATAAATACATCTGATAAGAATCTAATTGTTGTGTCAATAAAACTTTGTGATTTATATTGGTTCTATCAAAATGAACATTTTTGTATTTACAGGTTTTTTATGTTTGCATCTTTACATATTTTATTTTAATAAAATTTGTTATAATACTAATAATAATCTTTGTTTCGATTGTGTAAATTTATATGGTTTTGCTATGATGCAAAAGTTACCAACAGGGAACTTTAAATTTCTAAGTGAAAAAAATAAAAAGACGTGTGGCACTCGCGGACTGCCGCGGTAAAGCTATTGCATAGCATTTTTTATCAACTTATGCAATTATAATTAATTATTTATTTTATTTATGCAGTTAAGTCTTTGATATTAAATCAAGTTACACTTTTTGAGCGTGGTGACCGATAAGAAAACAATTTTTTTCTCTTATTGTATAAATGAGAAGTTAATATTGTTTAAAATATTTTTAATATCTTACAATACATGTAGGTTATTCAGGAATTTTTATCATTCAGTTAGCAGCTAGTGTACACGCATACGACTAGTCGCACGCACACAAACACCGTGCCGAAGTCTGCCGAATTAGTCCGGTTAATCGAGTATATATATATACATATTGAGAATCTAAATTGAGAATTTAAACTATACGCGTGTGTGTGTTTGTGTGTATATAAAGAGGGCTACTTTTAATATCGATCATTTTAATATCAAAAATTTAGGTTATCTTTATAGCAGTATTATATTTTCAATTCAAAATTAGTACTGCATTTGTGATAATAATAAAATCTAGGTATGTATATAGAGTACTCAATCATTTTCTTTCACTATTTTTTTCGTGACTTTCTTCATTAAGATGGCACAAGTCGCGGGCTCGAACTCATTGGTGGGCGCGGCCAAAAAAGCACGTTGTCTCACCTGGCATCGTGCCCGACAGAGATAGTTAGAACGCACGTCTTGTTCGTACGGCGTTCCGAACCGTTAGAACAAAAACGAAGTTACACGAACACGATGCACACATACATACCACCCTATTCTGTGCCGCTCGACGCTTGCTGAGAAATCAGCAGTACCTACCTACAAACTCGTATTAAATTATTAGGTGCTGCGTTATCGCTTTATACTATACCTCTATGGCTCTATAGATACCTAATATAGATTGCTTATTTTATTATGTTTTGTTTTCCCCGGGTGGTCATGCAGCGATGCTCAAGAGTTCACGACGCCGAAGCATGAACTGGAACAGTCATCGCAGTTTATATCCGTACTAGCTGTTGCCAGCGGCTTCAAACGCGTGAACTCGAAAATTATCCCACAGGAAACGAAATAACTGAATAAACGGTATCAAATGTGTTATTCCAGACCAGGTATAACCTATCTCTGAGCTAAATATCATCCAGATCCCTTCAGCTGTGATTGAGTAACATACATCTATCCATCCAAACTTTCGCATTTATAATATTTAGATAATAATTGTAATTAGTTCTGCCTACCTATAAATTGTCTTCAAAAATACTTACCTGTCTTCTTACTTTGTTTTATATACACACAATATCACTAGATGTAAACACATGTTTTTATCAAGACAAGTGACCCGTCAAGACTGTTTCCTTAGTACCGACGTACTTAGGCAGGTAGGTAGGCAGTTTAGATTTTAGTTTCCACGACGCAGCGACAGTTTGCCAAATTTTGTTGTATAGGTTGTGGGTATCTAGGTAATAACAGTAGGTAGACTACCTATCCACCGCCCACGCCGCGCAAGTGATTCTCGTCCCACCTGTCGGCGCAGTAACTTTTTTTTACGACCGCGCGAGACTGTCGCAACAAAAACGATTACTACCGAAAAATTAAATAGGTACCTACCTAACATTCAAATAAAAATATTCTCAAAAAGCTCAACGAATTCAGAATTTAATTTTGTTAAAAGAAAATTGGTCAAATAAAAAATAAAGGATGAAAATAAAGCATATGGGAATATAAAAATAAATCGTATTTATTTGTTACTTATTTCGAGTTTTACAAGAAAAGTATAATATTTACTGGAGACAATTATTTTATTATTATAATAGTACATGATATTCCCTTTAAAATGACACCAATATGAATAATATCTTGTATCTATATCTACAAATAAATAAAATTGAAGTGTCTGTTTGTAATGTTAAAATAACAGCTTTTTATTAAATGCATATGAAAGTACTATTTTTGTCTGTCTGTCGGTCTGTCTGTCTGTCTGTTTGTTCCAGCTAATCTCCGAAACAGCTGGATCTATTTTGACGGGACTTTCACTGGCAGATAGCTGATGATATAAGGAATAACTTGAACTACTTTTGTTTTAGAAAAAGAGTTAGGGTTCCGCGCAAAAAAATTAAAACCCATGAAATCCATATTCCACGCGGGCGAGATCGCGGGGAAAAACTAGTACTCAATATAGATAAATGTATACTTATTTTTATTTATTTATTATTTTAATAAATAAATAAAAATAAGTATTAATAATTTCTAGACACATCTCAACAGATATTTCGTTTATAAATTGCTATCAATATTGAAGCATTCTTTTATATTTAGCATCCATTTAACACAAAGCTGATAGGAATACTTTTTAAACAACATAATATAATCAATAAACAATAATCGCGTATAGTGAATTTCGAGGTAAATTATTATATGTAAACGTTTTTGAATCGTCGTAATGAAACATATTTCCTAAAGAAAATATCTTCACAATTAATTTACATATACAATAAAATAACATTAGAAATAACGTATAAAAACAGAAAAATTATCAAATTTTTGATCGAGTTCCTAACCAGTACACAAACAAAAATGGCGAAATATCATTTTCAGATTTTTTTTCTATATAGTTATTTGTTACAGAGTACACAGATAAAATTCACTCTCACAGATGACAAATTTCGAACACCACAATCTCTAATTTTTTACTCTGCTATCTTCAGCGCTGTACACGAACGGAACGATGTCGTTGAGAGCCGTGGTAGCTCACATGGTTAGCGCTCGTTATAGGTATCACAGTACGGGAGCAACCCGGGTTCGATCCCCACTGGCACCAATGAAATTGTTGCGTGCTGATTTAGCTATCAGTTGGAAAGTCTGTTTTTCTGGGCCGTTTTGTTTTGTTACACTGACATCTCGCAAGTCACCTAGGGACCTAGGAGGTTGTCGGTTGCTTATTTTTTATTTTTCTTTAAAATTTTCGTCGGTAAAATAACATATTTATAAAAGTAAAAAAAAAGTAAAGTTACAGCCTATATACGTCCCACTGCTGGGCACAGGCCTACTTTAATTTCTGAGAGGGTTTTAAGGCAAGGAAATGTCCGCCACGCTGCCTCAATGCGTGTTGACGAACTTCACATTTCTTCGAAATATATATTTTTTAATTTCTCAGACATGCGCTACCAGCATGCGACGACGCGGCCCGCACCTTGCCGCCACTTGCATTTGCCGCGCTTTGTCTCGTCACAAAGTGGCGAAATCACAGTAATATAGGTATTTTATAAACAGCACCTGTCTAATATTATGAAATATGTAGATAAAACTTAAAACTTACCTTGATAAATGTTTGTAATATTTTTTTAAACCTCTCTTAAATCGTTTCTGCTTATTCCCCATGTTTTGCAAACTAAACTTAAACATTAATAAAACTGTACAATTAATATAACTATAAAACACTACTATTAAACAAGAATCAGAAAAAACCTACTCCACTATTAACAAAATTAAATTTTTGCAGTAATATTTTACGATTTTATTTCGTAGTGCTGAGCTCTCGCAACGCGGCGTACGTCCACCTAGCAACACGATGCGCCCCGCACTGAATTCGTGGCTTTTTTTTTGCGCCCGAAGCAATTAAAGGGCTACCCTATACGTAAGGAGGCGGAAAATGCATTACGCATACCACGATAGCCGGTCTATCGTGGTTATGAGGGGCTCACTGTCCTACCGGGGACCCTAAGTGATACCCTCTAAAAAACCGCCTTTGGGGACAGGCAGCCGGCTAATTAAGCTGTATTGTGCCTTATCATGAGCGACCCTCTTTTGGGAAAAGAGGGCGCAGGCGGCTAAGAGCCGCTGAGGGAGTGCCTACGAAGGCAAATTAATGTTAGTTAATGCAATAATTTAATTTAATTAGAGTTGGCCTGAGCCGCCAGGAGACAGTTCAGGTCGTTTGAAAGTTTATTAGGCGGGTTCGAGAGAGAGTTTCTCGGCCTGCGGACACGATAGCGAGAGGGGGGTGGGGCTGCATAAGAAGCTGCCTCACGAATTAAATGATTTGGGTGCGACTCTGAGGCTTTGAAGAAGTTCTTAGAGAGTTTTTTAAAAAATTGTTGAATTGTTGGGAGCTCTAAGTCCCGATGAAGGTCGGCATTACGGACGTACCAAGGTGCGTTCGCAGCTCGACGACAGAAGAGGTTCTGAACTATTTGGAGTTCATTTAAAATATTAGGGTTTGCGTGGGCAAAGACGGGGCCCGCGTAGGACATGACTGGTCGTATACAGGCCTTGTAAAGGGTACGCTTGTTTCGAAGGGACATTTTACTGTGTCGGCCCAACATACTGTTGAGCCTACTCAGATAAAACCGTGCGTGACGGGTTACTCTTTTGACGTGGGGCCTGAAAGTGAGCCCTGTGTCTAGAGTGACACCTAAATATTTGGCGGACGTATGCCAGGGGACAGGGGTCCCTAGCATACGTATTGGTGGGGTGTTTTTGAGACGGCGTCGTTTCTAATCGAAGTGAACGGCGGAGCTCTTCTCCGGGTTCACATCGATGCGCCATTTTTTGAACCAAGCTCCTAGGTCATCAACTGACTTTTGGATCTTGTTTCGTATGAAGGGTAGTGAGACACCTTTGCAGTAGATGGCAGTGTCGTCTGCGAAGAGGGAGAGTTGAACACTTTTCGACGGGATGGGAATGTCGTTGGTGAACAGGATGTACAGCAGAGGAGCAAGTACTGAGCCCTGAGAGACACCAGCCTTGATAGTTCGCTGTGAAGATAGCGTACCTTCGTGTCTAAAACGAAAAGTACGATGTTTTAAATAGGAGGCCACGAGACGAACTAGACCTAGACCTATTTTGTAGAGCTTGTAGATGAGGCCTGTGTGCCAGACTCTATCGAAAGCTTTGGCTATATCGAAAAAGACCGCGATGGTCTTATGACGACGAGGGTAGAAACCGCTGAGGATATATTCTACAATGCGGTGAACTTGTTGGGGACATGAGTGTTTGGCTCGGAAGCCGAATTGATGGGGAATGATAAGAGGGTCGCCGTCTGTGGGAAACAGATAGCGCCTCATACGCGTTTGGATGACTCTTTCCAAGAGCTTGCCCATTGCCTTGAGGAGGCTAATGGGGCTATGGCTGGAGGTTGAGAGGCTTGCCTGGCTTGGGAATTCCAATCATAGTTGCCTCCTTTCACGTAGTGGGGAAATAACTGAGGTTGAAGCAGGCGTTGAAGATAATAGATAAAAAGGTTAACACCTGCTCAGGAAAGTGTTTTAGGGCTTGGTTGGAGATGCCATCCGCGCCCGGAGCCTTTTTGGGCTTAATTCCTTTGATGAGGTATGAAATCTCATCATTGGACACAGAGATAGGTTCGGAGGACGTAGGGGGTGAGTTCCGGCGGCGGACCTCATCCTCCACTGCCTGGACGTGAGAGGGGTCGACGGGTTGAGAACTAGGAGAGCAGGAATTCGTGGACGAATGCGGGGGTGATATAGACGCAGTATTTAATCGGGACGCATTTTTAATTTATTATCATAAAAATAATAAATATTTCTAAAAAAGTAACCAAACCAAATTATTTTATTTAGTATTGCAAAACAGTAGATATTTTTTTTATATTCCTTTGATAAACAATGAAGGAGTAAAGTGGTTTCATCTCAACGATTTGGAGGTGATTTG